TATGAATTACGTTTAATGGACTTAGATAGTGAACATTTAGGCATTCCAGATACGGATTATTCATGTACAATTAAGATGCCTAGTAGTGAATTTTCTCGTATTTGTCGTGATATGAGTATTATGGGTGATTCAGTTCTTGTTTGTACAACTAAAGAAGGTGTGAAATTCTCAGCTAAAGGCGATCTTGGTCAAGGTATGGTTTGTTTTTTTTATAAATACAGAATGATTCAATAGTCAATTAGCCGAAGAAAAAATTGAATATCTTCGCTATAGTTTAATCAAATAGGCTGATTTTTCTACTGATGATAAAGGTGTGTTCATATGCGTATAGAAAATATTGAAAAGAATAATCCTCTGGTATTACTATTGGTTTCGACAGAGAAATGCAGTCCTTTCCAATTAATTTCAGTGGAGAATCTCGACAATTTCTTATAAGGATTCAAATAAGCTACGAATATCCTGAAAGGACCTAGTGTCCTTAGTTTATTCCTGCGAAGATACTACATTTTTAAATGTTGTGATCTCTTCAGAAATAGCAGGAAACTGATTTTCGACTTGAAACTTTGTACAGAGACAGACTTTAACGAGAATCGTTAATTGTGAAAATTTAAGTCTTTTGATTTGGTTCTATGCTAGAATTAGAACACCAAATCTGATCCTTTGTATGAGCACACTGTAAAAGACACCATTGTACCATGGTTGTATCTTACGAAAAGAACAATGAAAAGATCTGAAGTTTCCACTAGACTGTTCTCATTAAAACCCATCTCTATACAAAGCTTCAAGTCGGAATATCAAAAATCAGTGTTTCTGAGAGAAACCACGACATTTATTACATAAATACCGTAAAAAATGTAGTATCTCTGCAGCAATTAGCGAACGACAAGAAGTCTTTTCAGGATATTTATAGCTCATTTAGGTCTACATAATGGACACCATCTGTTTATAATAATTTCCAACGTATTTGCTCTTTCGTGAAGCTTTGATCAAGATATTGAATTTTCTTCTCCAAGACTTTAATTTTTCAACTAAAATTTTACTTTCAATTTTTGGGTGTTAAACTTTGCCGTAATCAAGGTCTGAAAGCGAGTAACTCGTTTGATATTTTATGGAAAAATTCTGAAAATTTGTGTACGAGTTGGTCTTATTGAGACTCTAATTGCAGCAAAGTTTAAGATCAAAAATTTGAAATTGAAATTTTATTGGAAAATTGAACAGCTAGATTGATGACCAAACTCACGAGGAGATATTTAATTTTTTTTTCATTTTACTGTCTTTTAAGACTTCTAATATATTTATTTTGTTGTTAAATTTTCTAGGCAGTATTCGTCTTGTTCAAACAACAAATATTGAAAAAGAAGAAGAAGCTGTTATTATTGAAATGAAAGAAGCTGTTGCACTTACATTTGCTGTACGATATTTGAGTATGTTTTGTAAGGCAGCACCACTTTCACCTCAAGTTGGTTTAAGTCTTTCGGAAGATACACCTTTAAGTATGTATTTATATTTATTAAAATGAAAATAATTTTATTTAAATTTTATAATTTTAGTGTGCGAATTTAAAATTGCTGAAATGGGTCATGTTCGCTTTTATTTGGCACCAAAAATTGAAGATGCAGATAGTTAAATAAAACAAGGATATGGAAAATAATTCAATATAAACATGTCAGATAGATATTGTCTTTCTATTCTTCTTTTTCTCTATATTTTGTCTATCAAATAATGAACATGAGATATATATTAGGATATTTTTTTTTTGTCTTATAAAATCATTTTCTTCATATCTTTGTCTCTTATTTCTAGATTAAACACAATGAGCAATACTGTGAGCTCATGAAATTCATTTTTTTTTATTTGAAGACAAAATGATATTTTAATGATAGGTAACAACAAATGATATATCCGAAAAGCCGGTGAAAATAGAGAAATGGGAAACGGATGCATTGAAAAATGCATTAGATGATGCATGCAAAAAGGTATTTTCTTTTTTTTCTCTCTCTCTCTTATACATGTTATTTATATTTTTGGAATCTAGTATTTTAAAGAGACACTTAATTTTACTGAAGATTTTAAATTAATGGATGGTCGTCTTTATATATCTTTTATTGCATGTTTATTTTCGGGATTTGCTTTAATCTATGATTGGTTAAATCCATTTCCAAAATCTCGTTCAATACTTATTATTTGCGTTATAACGTAAGAGGAATAACAATATATATACATAGTTCGGGCCACTACTAAAAGTAGTGACGAAAGTATTTTAATGCCTTATTAAAACTGTAAAAAAAACTATATTCTCTGGTAGGAAAGATAAGATCGATTCACAATTTGTTTTTGGAATCCAACCGATTCCATTTCTGTGACATTTCCTCATTCTTCGACTACTATTATAATAAAATTTTGATAAGAGTTATTTCTTATGATATGAGACGGTATGATTAGGTCATATTTCGTCTTCGATATGTATCGGTTTTGATATCATGTGATTTTTGATTATTCGACTTAATCAAATAAAACCTAATCAATGAAAACTATTCTAAATCGTGCTATAAGCAAGTTCACGAATTCTTTGAATAGAAAAGAGTATAAGAAACATCCGATAAATAAA